AGGTATTTTTATATTGCACGGATAATCAGATAACAGACAAAAAAATATTTATTTTTATTTTATTTAATATAATTAACAGAAAGTAAAAGTGGGGTACAGAAGGTTGTGCTTCTAGTTTCATCCATCTCATGCTTGTCAAAAGGAATCCACTAACAAGGTTGATCAAGTCTTGTTAACAAACTCATTCCGGTTAACATGAAACCGGAGAAATTTCGAATAACACTAGGTTACCTCAACGGGGATATGCACATCCCCAATAATAAGTGTATCATATTTCTTCTTGACAGTAGGAAGAATTCAAAACCTCCAAATATAATCGATGGAATTTTTCCGATAGAATTGATACTATGAACTTGAGGTTGTTTTCTCGGAAAGTGTATCGTATGCTCATTACCATTAACATGAAAAGTGACATTGCCTTTGTTGCAATCAATAACAGCCCTTGCGGTATTAAGAAAAGGTCTTCCAAGAATAATAGACATACTATCATCCTCGGGAATATCAAGAATAACAAAGTTCGTTAAAATAGTAACATTTGCAACCACAATAGGCACATCCTCACAAATACCGACAGGTATAGCAGTTGATTTATCAGCCATTTGCAAAGATATTTTAGTAGGTGTCAACTTATTCAAGTCAAGTCTACGATATAAAGAGAGAGACATAACACTAACACCGGCTGCAAGATCACATAAAGCGGTTTTAACATAGTTTCTTTTAATGCAGCATGGTATAGTAGGTACTCCTGGATCTCCAAGTTTCTTTGGTATTCCACCCTTAAAAGTATAATTAGCAAGCATGGTGGAAATTTCAGTTTCTGGTGTCTTTCTTTTATTTGTAACAATATCTTTCATGTACTTAGCATAAGGATTCATTTTGAGCATATCAGTCAATCGCATACGCAAAAAGATAGGTCTAATCATTTCAGCAAAGCGCTCAAAATCCTCATCATCCTTTTTCTTGGATGGTTTGGGAGGAAAAGGCATGGGTTTCTGAACCCAAGGCTCTCTTTCTTTACCATGTTTCCTAGCAACAAAGTCTTTCTTATCATAACGTTGATTCTTTGATTGTGGGTTATCAAGATCAACAGCGGGTTCAGTTTCTACATCATTATCATTACTAGGTTGAGCATCATTGTGAACATCATCATTAACATTTTCATTAGGTTCATGTTCATTGCCAGATTGTGGTTCGGCATCAGACATAGATATACCATTTGGATTATCAGGTGGTTCAGCAATAGGTTCACTAGAAGTTTGCACAGTTCTATCATTTTTCTTTTTCTTCTTTTTAGAAGAACTAGGTGCATCAATATTATTTCTTTGAGAATCTTGCTCAATTCTCTTAGGGTGGCCTTCAGGATACAAAGGTTCCTGAGTCATTCTACCAGTTCTAGTAGCCACTTTAACAGCATAATCATTTTTCTTACTATTCATCTCATTGAGCAATTCCTTTTGAGCTTTAAGTACTTGTTCTACTTGAGTGGTAACCATAGAAGCATGTTTGCTAACAAGTTTAAGTTCACCTCTAATATTAGCCATATAATCACCCAAATATTTAATCATATCAGCATCTTGTTTTAATTGTCTACCAAAATAAGCATTGAAGTCTTCTTGCTTAAACATAAAATTAACAAACTCATCCAAGCATTGACTAGCAATTTTAGCAGGAGGGATTTCAGCTTTATCATATCTATAGAGAGAATTTACCTTTACTACCTGTGTCGGGTTATCGAGGTCTGGAGGTTCTTCAATAAATAAAGGATTAAGATCATATGTTTCTTCAATAGGCGGTAAATTCTTAACATCTTCAGCTTTAATACATTTTTCTTTCATAGATTTCTTTGCCTCTTGCATATCTTCGGGACTGAGAAATAGAACACCTCTCTTCTTCGGAGTTGGTTTAGGAATAGGATAATTAATTGGAGCAGGAGCTGGCTCCGGAGCTGGATCAGGAGGTGCCCAATTATTTTCATTTGTCAACATATTATTCAATAAGATTTTAGCTTCATCCGGTGTTCTTTCCATGAAAAGAGAACTAGCACAACTATCCAGGTAATCTCTGGAAGCATCGGTTAGTCCATTATAAAAGATATCAAGTATTTCATTTTTCTTAAGAGGATGATCAGGCAAAGTATTAAGTAACTTGAGAAGCCTCCCCCAAGCTTGTGGGAGACTCTCTTCTTTAATTTGCACAAAGTTGTATATTTCCTTTAAAGCAGCTTGTTTCTTATGAGCAGGGAAATATTTAGCAGAGAAGTAGTAAATCATATCCTGAGGACTACGCACACAACCAAGATCAAGAGAATTAAACCATATCTTAGCATCACCCTTTAATGAGAACGGAAATATTTTAATGATATAAAAGTAGCGAGATCTCTCATCATTAGTGAACAGGGTGGCTATATCATTTAATTTAGTAAGATGTGCCACAACAGTTTCAGATTCATAGCCATGAAAAGGATCAGATTCAACCAAAGTAATTATATCAGGATCAACAGAGAATTCATAATCCTTATCAGTAACACAAATAGGTGAAGTAGCAAAAGCAGGGTCAGGTTTCATCCTAGCATTTAGAGATTGCTTATTCCATTTAGCTAATAACCTTTTGAGTTCATATCTATCTTTGCAAGCTAAAATAGATAAAGAAGCTTCTTGATCAAATAAATAACCCTCAGGAATAACAAGTGATTCTTCATCATCACTTTCATCATCATAATCAGATTCAATATTTTCAATCTCTCTAGCCCTAGCAAGTTGTTCCTCGAGAAAATCACCAAGTGGCACAATAGTATCAAGCATAGAAGTAGTTTCATCATAAGTATCATGTATAGCAGAAGTAGTATCATCAATAACATGTGACATATCAGAACGAATAGCAGAAGCAGGTTTAGGTGTCGCAAGCTTACTCAGAACAGAAGGTGAATCAAGTGCAGAGCTAGATGGCAGTTCCTTACCTCCCCTCGTAGTTGAGGGATAAATTGTTGTCTTAGCATCTTTCAAGTTCTTCATAGTGTCCAGCAGATATAAATCCCAAGTGACTCAAAGAATAGAGCTATGCTCCCCGGCAATGGTGCCAGAAATTAGTCTTGATGACCCACAAGTATAGGGGATTGCAACAGCTTTCGAGGGTAGAGTATTCAACCCAAATTTATTGATTCGACACAAGGGGAGCCAAAGAATATTCTCAAGTATTAGCCGCTGAGTTGTCAATTCAAGCACACCTGGAAACTTATTATCTGCAACAAAGTGTTTAGTAGCAAAGTAATATGATAGTGATGGTAACAGTAACAAAAGGGTAACGAAAGCAAACTAATGTTTTTTATATTTTGTAGTGATTGTAACAATAGCAACGGGAAAGTAAATAAGCATAAACCAATATATGGAAAGCTCGTAGGCTTCAGATCAATGATGGATAATTATGCCGGATGCGGTTCATCATGTAACAGTCATAACATAGGATGACACCGAACTAGCTCCAATTCGTCAATGTAATGTAGGCATGTATTCCGAATATAGTCATACGTGCTTATGGAAAAGAACTTGCATGACATCTTTTGTCCTACCCTCCCGTGGCAGCGGGGTCCTAATGGAAACTAAGGGATATTAAGGCCTCCTTTTAATAGAGAACCAGAACAAAGCATTAGCACATAGTGAATACATGAACTCCTCAAACTACGGTCATCACCGGTAAGTATCCCGATTATTGTCACTTCGGGGTTAATGGATCATAACACATAATAGGTGACTATAGACTTGCAAGATAGGATCAAGAACTCTCATATACTGATGAAAACATAATAGGTTCAGATCTGAAATCATGGCACTTGGGCCCTAGTGACAAGCATTAAGCATAGCAAAGTCATAGCAACATCAATCTTAGAACATAGTGGATACTAGGGATCAAACCCTAACAAAACTAACTCGATTACATGATAAATCTCATCCAACCCATCACCGTCCAGCAAGCCTATGATGGAATTACTCATGCGCGACGGTGAGCATCATTAAATTGGTGATGGAGGATGGTTGATGATGACGACGACGATGAATCCCCCTCTCCGGAGCCCCGAACGGACTCCAGATCAGCCCTTCCGAGAAGTTTTAGGGTTTGGCGGCGCTCCGTATCGTAAAACGCGATGAATTCTTCTCTCCTATTTTTTCTCCCCGAAAGCAGATATATAGAGTTGGAGTTGGAGTCGGGAGGTCTCCAGGGGGCCCACGAGATAGGGGGCGCGCCCTAGGGGGGCGGGCGCCCCCACCCTCGTGGAAAGGGTGGGGCCCCCTGGTCTTCATTTTTGGCGAGGATTTTTTATTATTTATTGTAAGATATTCCGTGGAGTTTCAGGTCATCCCGAGAACTTTTGTTTTCTGCACATAAAACAACAACATGGCAATTCTGCTGAAAACAGCGTCAGTCCGGATTAGTTCCATTCAAATCATACAAGTTAGAGTCCAAAACAAGGGCAAAAGAGTTTGGAAAAATAGATACGACGAAGACGTATCAGCACGCACTCAACAACAGGTTTGATCCTTCCAATGTATTACTCTAGTGTGTTGGTCTTGTGGGGCCATAGCCCGGCGAAAGGCCAACTATCTACTAGAACAAGGTTTTCCCCGCTCCGATAAGGGAGGGGCAATGACGGCGGCACGATTTCGTCTCGCTTAAGTGCATGTAACGTTGCTCGTGATCCATGGACTTGATTGTAACTTGTATTACCTCTAGTGTTCTCTTTACTGCCATGATAGATTATGAATAGATCGAAAGTTTTTCAAAAAAAAACATTAAATTGAGTAGAACATAAGACTTTTTTCCAAAAAATATAAATAACTGAACTGATTCTTTGAAAATAAAATTATGCAAGGAAAATTCTATAACGCATCCCCTCAAAAAAATTATAATCAGCATCTATACTGAATTTTTGGAAATCAGAAACAGAAAGGGGGTCCTCAATATTGAGTTCTCATGAGACATGAAAAACTGTGAGATCTGCCCATAGAATGTTGATCGGACGGTTAAGAACCACAGCCGGAGATGTCTCCCTGTTCCCCATCTCAGGCACACAAGCCCTAAACCCGTGCATGGCATTCGCCGCCTCTCGCCGTCTCTCCGCCGCCGCCGCCGCCGCCGCCGCTCCGAAACTCTCCTCCCTCTTCACGCCCCGACCCATTCCTAATCCTAAGCCTCGCCCGCTGTCGCCGGAGTCCGGCGATGATCCTAGGCGGCGGAAGGCGAGGCCGAGATCAAGGCACCCGTGGGGGGAGGATGCGGCAGCGCTGCTCCGGCGGCTTCACGAGGGGCGATACCTGCCGGGACCCTACATCCCGGATGCGCCGCATGTAGTATCCCCCGACGCTGTCAAGGCCGCCGCCGAGCGGTTCGGCAACGATCACCAGGTCGTCGCCAAGTGAGTTCTGATTCTCGTATTGTTTGTAACCTTGGTCTTATAGCATCCTCGACAGTTGGCTCAGATGGATACTTCGTATGGTAGAGAGATCATGGATGCTATTAAGTGCCATGAAATATTCAGATTTGGAGAGCTAAGTGGCTGTGTTTTAAGGGTCTCGGTTGTCACTAGCAGTCCATTTTTGTTGCATCTTAGGAACATTTCTGGAAAAAAGATAGTACTCCCTCCGTCCCAAAATAAGTGCCGCTGATTTAGTACAAAGTATGTTTGGCCTGGAATGGTGGATGAATTATATTACTGATTTCATTGGCCTGGGAAAGTATGTTTTCGGGTAAAATATCCAGGAGAAATAGCACTATGTATTTGTGTAGCTTGACTTGAATTGGAAATTGAATGCTCTGGGGTTCTGTCTACGACTTTTAACATTGACTTTTATCTTTGGCATGGCAAGGCATCACATTGTGATTCTAGCAATGAATTGCTTTCTTTTGCTCCAGAGAGATTGAATTTGGTAGTTGTAACGTGTATATTCGAAGGCATCACTCGACAACAGATCATTGATTCATTTCAAGCGACTAGATTAATTAGAGATAGTGCAAGAACCAAATTTATGCTCATGTATGATGTCTGTTTGAAATACCATCTCTGAGCTAGATCTTATAACCCTTGTCGATCAGTGTGCTGGCCTGCTGGAGGAGAACATGCATGCTTCTATTTTGTCGAAATGCGTTCATTATTCCATCTATATGGTCTAATCTTAGGTACATTTGTAGAGAACAGCATCTTAAGAAAAACTAGTGGATTAATGATTTGCAGAGGATCAATTGTTTTTGAAAGTGGGAACTCTTTGTGTTCAATTTGCAGTGGATGCTGCCATGGCAAGGTTAATGGTGGTTTTGGGCCTTTAAGGCATATTGCATCAACATCTTCGGAAACAATATTGATCTTGTTCCCCATGTTTGCTGCCTTTGTTTTATCACTGAATAATGTGAAAAGGCAGCTGCATAGTTCTTTTTTGTGTGTGTGAACTAATGTGTTTTATATTATTAGCCGAAGGTAAAAGGCAGAATAACATGGCAGAACTGTTACAAATCACTTGATTCATCTGTCGTTGAACCTTTTGCTTGTCACTGCAGATGGTTGTCGGGAAGTGACTTGAAGAAGGTAGCATTGTTTGGCTGCCCATCTGTCGAGCGAAGAACAGTTTTTGCATCAAAAAGATTACGAGCTTTCTTCAACTTGCCAGAAGAGAAAGTATGCAATTTTCAATTCGGTAGCTTCAGTAGAAGAATTTGTTCTCAACGCATGCTTGAGATTTCCCTCTTACATGTTGTGCTCTTTCAGGTATGCAGCTCTTGCAAGATAAGAAGTTCATGCCAGTTTATTAACCAGGAGGTGCCTAGGTATGATAAAGTGATCTTGTCAGATACTATGAGGATCCTTGCTTTGTTTGTACTGGATGCATATCCTGAGCCACTACAGGTTACTGCTGAAGTAAAAGCTAGTGTTCGCAAACTTCTCAAGGACACCATAAATCTAAGCATTTAAGTTCTTTGAGGGATAATTTTTAATCAGTTGAGGTACTGTGTATATGTCAGGTATACTTAGGTTCATTTTCCCACTCTTCTTTTTTCTTTTGTACCTCGAGCAACCATTGTAACATGATCTGAATCAAATAATAGAGTTGATGGCCACATTTATTTGGAGCAGATAGCTGACGGTCATGTTTCATTCAGACAATACCTGAGAGTTCGACTGCTGACCTCGTTGGATATTTTTTCTCTTTGTTTTTTACCAATATGTGGCGTGTAGCTAATGGTGAAGCCCTTAATGTTATTAGCTTAGCGTGGTGTAAATATATTCTATTTGTGCTTGATTGTTCAACTTCGGAAAGGTATTGTTCCATCATGGCTCTGGTTTATGGGACAGCTTGGTACATTTTTTCCTCTTATGTCGACAGAATAATTCAGCTTCGTAGACATGCCTCATCATGCACGGGGAGTTTGCCTATCAGTTGAGAGTGACTGATATCAAACAAACTGATTACACAATGGTTCTTTCCCCTTAGCCATTCTGCATATTTGTCAAGATCCTTTTTGCTCGAGCATCTTGTCTCTGACAATGCTGAGGCATGCTTGTTCGACATTGCTTGCGTTTCTCAGTCCATTGTACCTGTTCCAGTGTGTGTTCATGACCATTATATTAAAACTACTCCCTCTGACGCAGCCTGAAGGGAGTACTAATATCTTGTACTCTCTTCGTTTCTAAATATAAGTCTTCTAGATATTTCAATATGGACTAGTACATATGTATGTATATAGACGAATTTTAAAGCGTAGATTTACTCATTTTGCTCCATGTGTAGTTTATATTAGAATCTCAAAAAATTATATTTAGGAACGGAGGGAGTATGATGGGACGGGGGAGTAGTTGATATCATTTACTATTTGCGGTTTTCTTTTATCCGTGTGTGCTATTTAGCTTAGCAAAAGTATATTCCACATGGACGTCGCCGACACTTCCAGCATGGGCACTACAGCACCAGATTCCCAGTGGGTTTGCTGTTTACTGATCATTGCAGTGCAGCGAAGTAACTCGACCTGGTTGATATTCACGGAGAGGCAGATCACCCTGAACCTGAAGCAAGGCGGTTCGCCGGGCAAATAGTCCAGCATCAGTCTGATCTCCACGTGATGTTCATTACGCAGCTACATGCCAATGCAATTTAGTTTTTTGACATAGGTACAGTCTTCAAACCTGCACCTCGAAAAATCTGGCCTCCCTCCCTTCATCATCCACCAGTCAGTCATCAGGAATTCAATTAAAAAGGCCTGACCACGTATGCGCTTAGCCGGCAGTACTTTTGCTAGAATAATTATAGTCGAGGCAGTGCCGTTCATGTGCTCTGGAGGCTCCAATTGGCACCGGATCTCCTTATCCACCCCAAATCTGGAATTCCGGATGCGCACGCGGGCTCGTTGTTAACGGGAGCCAGTAGAAAGCCGGAGCCCCTTTTCGAGGAATGCACCGTCACTTTCTCACCACCTTTTTCTCTCAAGATACGTACGTACGTTCCCCTGTAACTGTGATGCATCCTTAACATCGGCAAGTTAGCTTTGTACTACAAGAAACCGAGAACCGTTCAAAGAGGTCGTTTTCAGCGCGGTGCACGCCACTGATGATCGGAAGAAGCTCGGTTTCTTGCCCCTCTGCGCCTGCTTCCAGGTAACTGCGCATCGTCAAGCCTAAAACGCCCGGCTTTCGATCCAGATCTCAGCTCTGTGGGCACCGTGTAGTCCTGTGGCTTGTTTGTTTGTTTGTTTATTCCGGTCAGGCGAGACCGGGGAACGGGAACCCGCGAGCGTCCGCATATGAAAAGTGTCCGAGGGTAGTAGTACTGGTACGTCTCAGTCCCAGCTGGAGTTGTCTGCAGGTGTGTGGCTGGATGGATTGGATTGGACGTCGGTCATACGGTCCGCGTTGGTTTGGTTTGCTGTGGTTTTGTCAGGGACGGCAGGCGACTGACGCGACACGAACATCACATGACCCAATAACTCCAGACTAGCAGTACTAATTAGCACGGCTGCCAGCGGCTGATCATGGCCACAACACTGTCAGCCTCGAGTAAATAAAGTTGCTCCCCGCATCCATCCGTACGGCGGTACTCCTACCTTTTCCAGCTCTCACCGCGGCGAGAACGGGCCGCCCGTACCGCCGAGCAGCAAAAATAACGGAATTTGAGCGTGTGGTACGTACTACAAGCTGAAAATACGGTGGTACGGTTATTAGTTTTATTTTCTTCTGAAAATTGGACGCTTGTGTTGTGGACTGGCACGACACAAATGGGGACGGCCACACAGGCGCACACACGGGAGGGGTAGGCCACAGAGGATGGTGAGCGGAGAGGGGGGCCTCGGGTTTCCGTGATCACGTGGTGGCATGTTGGGTTGGGGGGAAAACGGTGCGGCTCCGTGCGCGGGATGGGGATGGGATGGGGACGGGGCGCTCGGCTCACGTGCACTGTGCGGCCCCCTGCCCCCGCGGGGACCACGCTCGCTCCGCACGCTCGTACTACTACACGCGCCTGTCCCCTCGACGTCACCGTCGCCCGCCGCGCGGATGTGTAGCGATACCGATGCCCACCGTCCGCCGGTCGCGCAACAGTAAAGCGTACACGCCTGGCCGCTCGCGCTAGGCGTACCACGCTACATGTACAATCGGACTTGCTAAATCCAGTCCTTCAAACATCCACGGACGTATTCGGACGTGTTTGTAGACAATGACCGGTCATGACTAAAAGTCCTCTGTTCATATTCGTGTACCTCGTATATGGCATCCTATATCCATACTACGCATGCAACATGATGAGCTATTCTACATGATCAAACAACAAAATCGGCATCAAACGGACAACCAAATACACATGAACAAATTGTACATCGTCCAAAAGATCATCGGAGTTCATCGCCGGATAAGTTCTTATTTTCAACAACTAAAAAACGATAGTAAACATAGGAAGAGAAGCGTCTTCACCACTTCCTCGTCGGGCTTTTGCCCTTTCGATCGCCGGCGTAGCTGTAGGCGTCCGCGGCTAATGGACGGTCATGGTCGTCGGAGGAGGGGGTGGAGCTGTGGCCTTCGCCATCGTCGGACGAGGAGTCGGAGAGAATGATCAGCCCCTTCATCCATGTGGACGACCCTATCTTACGGTCACTTCAACTTGGCCACCCTAGCTGCCTCAGCCGCTGCCGCCTTCGCCTCGCGCTCCGACTACTCTATGGCAAGCTAGAGCGCCTCGTTCTTCCGTCATAGGCGGCGAGCGCCCGTCTCCACCGTCGTCACCGAACGGCGGTAGACCCAAGAGAGGAGTCGCTCGCTCTCGTTGGGCTCCGTTGGTATCCCGCGGCGACGACACACAGACTGCTCCGCCACGTCCCTCTCCCTTGCCCGCTACAGATTTCCGCAGTGCGCGTGCGGGCTGGCGGCGGGGGAAGGGGACGACACAGGTGCGGAGCGAAGTGCGCTGCCCTACCGAAGACGCGCGCGGGCCGGTTGGGGCCGGTTCCCGTGTCTGCGCTACACTAGCGCGGGAGCGGCGACGGTGCAGATTCGGACCTGTCCCCGATGTCCACCTTGGCCCGCTCCAAGGCAATGCAGAGGGCCAGCTCCTCCTCGATGTAGAGGTCAGAGCCGGAGTAGCTGCCGTAGCTCGACATTGTACCGGATTGGATCGGAATCGGAGAGGAGGGGAGAGTGAGTGAGTTAGGGTTCGGAGCGAGGAGAAGGATTGGATTTTTTCTGTGGGATAACAGTGGGGTCGGTTGTGACTGGGTCTGTCGGGTCCGACATGGCGGACGGCCCCGGGCATGCCCGTGTCGCCCCATGTCCGCCCTACATCTGGGCTGGATATGAGGGGCGCCGGACAACCCGGGTGTTGAGGCCGGTTTGAGGCGCCCGGGTGGGTTGGGTTTTTTGACCGATGAGTGACCGCCCTCCTAGTGTTTGAGACGGGATTAGGGCGCGTGATTGTAGATGCTCTCAGGCGCTGCATTATTTCCGAGTTTTGAGGGCAACTTCAAAGCCGCCAACGCATTTGGTCCACATGTGTCTGCTTGGGTTGAAGTGGACACAAACACCGGCCCAACACGTGGACGCAAAACCAAATCATGTCCGCTCCATCTAGACACATTTTCGGCTCAAATTCGACGGATTTGCGTTCACACGGGACGCGCCACGTGTCCTCTCGTTGTCCGTCTTGGGATGCCTGTTGAGGGAGTCCTGGATTAGGGGGTGTTCGGGTAGCCGAACTATACCTTCAGCCGGACTCCTGGACTATGAAGATACAAGATTGAAGACTTCGTCCCGTGTCCGGATGGGACTTTCCTTGGCGTGGAAGGCAATCTTGGCGATGCGGATATTCAAGATCTCCTACCATTGTAACCGACTTTATGTAACCCTAACCCTATCCGGTGTCTATATAAACCGGAGGGTTGTAGTCCGTAGGCAATCAACTCCATACACAACAATCATACCATAGGCTAGCTTCTAGGGTTTAGCCTCCTTGATCTCGTGGTAGATCTACTCTTGTACTACCCACATCATTAATATTAATCAAGCAGGAGTAGGGTATTACCTTCATCGAGAGGGCCCGAACCTGGGTAAAAAACATCGTGTCCCTTGTCTCCTGTTACCATCCGGCCTTGACGCACAGTTCGGGACCCCCTACCCGAGATCCGCCGTTTTTGACACCGACATTGGTGCTTTCATTGAGAGTTCCTCTGTGTCGTCGCCTTTAGGCCCGATGGCTCCATTGATCATCAACAACGATACGGTCCAGGGTGAGACTTTTCTCCCCGGACAGATCTTCGTCTTCGGCGGCTTCGCTCTGCGGGCCAATCCGCTCGGCCACCTGGAGCAGATCGAAAGCTACGCCCCTGGCCATCAAGTCAGGTTTGGAAGCTTAAACTACACGGCTGACATCCCCGGAGACTTGATCTTCGACGGGCTCGAGCCACGGCCAAGTGCGCCGCACTATCTCGAGGGGCATG